AGGGTCTGGAGTGGCTTGCCAAGAGTCTGCCGCTGGTTTAACCCTAGAGTGATGAATCTCTACCTTTACAGCTGTTGGAGTGGACAAAAGAACAACATAAGGACCTCTCCATTTCAGACCTAATGGAACACTATTCCATTCTTTTATCCACACTTGATCTCCTGGATGGTAAGAATGAATAGGTGGATATATGTTCACAGGTAACCTATCTTGTACCCATTTCTGTACTTCCTCCATGGTTCCACCCAACTCTACAACCTGCTGCCGAGTAATTCCTTCAGTCAACTGACTCAAATCCCCCCTTAGATTACGGAGTATAGGAGGTGGACGCCCATACATAATTTCAAAAGGAGACAGACCCATTCTCCTGGTAGGAGTACTGCGTATGCGCAACAGAGCTATTGACAAAAGAACATTCCACTTAAGCTGGGTCTCTTGACACATTTTTGCCAACTGGGTCTTTATAGTTCTGTTCAATCCTTTCCACCTTCCCAGAACTCTGAGGTCTATATGCTGTATGAAGTTTCCACTTAATACCAAGCATATGAGTCAGTTGTTGTAGGCACTGATGAATAAATGCTGGGCCATTATCTGATCCTATAGAGCACGGGAGTCCATATCTGGGTATGACTTCTCGCAACAGGAATCGTACAACTTCTCCTGCTTTTTCCGTACGGGTTGGACAAGCTTCTACACACAGCTACCAACAGGTAAGATATCCTCCAGATTTAGGCATTACTGTATAGTCTATTTGCAGATCTGACATGGGGATTCCTCCCATATACTGGACCCCAGGAGGTTTAACAGGGCCTTGTCTTGCATTGTTCTTTGCACACAGAACACATCTTCGAACAATGGCTTTAGTAAGATTGGATAATCTTGGTATATAGAAATGTTTCCTGAGAGATTCTTCCATACTATCTCTTCCTGTATGTGTGCCATTGTGGAAGTTCTGAACAATCTCTATAGCCAGAGATGTCGGAATGACTATTCTTCCATCTTCTAACTGATACCAATTGTTCTCCAAATATTTTCCCGTTTCAGTCTTCAACCACTCCATCTCTTGAGTTGTATAAATCGGGTTCCATTGAGACAAGGGCAGCAACGTACCCCACATATTTCTCCTGTCCAGATTCAGCAGCACTCTTAGCCGCACTATCTGTGATGCGATTTCCTTTTACCATCGCCTCTCAGATGTCCTCTGCAATGTATAATACCGACCTCCTTTGGCTCCCATACTGCTTCCAATAGTTGAAGTATTTCAGCTGCATACTTGATTTCTTTCCCTTCCGAATTCAACAACCCTCTTTCTTTCTACAAGGCTCCATGGGCATGAGTGGTTAAAAATGCATATTTTGAATCAGTATATATGTTCACCTTCAACACTTCAGCCAATTGCAAGGCCCGTGTTAGTGCAATCAATTCTGCCTTCTGTGCTGATGTCCCTTTTGACAGTATGCTCTAACAGTATTTAGGGAGACCGCGCCAGAGAGAGGGTGTTGGGTGATACTGGGAACTACTTCCGCCAGACTTACCTCTCCACAGTCTCTGGCATTGTGGGTCCTACTTCCGAATAGGCACGCCGGCTCCTGGGACACGCCAGCTCTACAAACTCTGAAGACGTCCTAGCCTTCTGGACTAAGACAAGTATGCTTCATGTCATAGAGGATTACTGGAGAACGGAAACTCACTTACTTTACAAGTGGACCATAGCCCTAAACTATTGGAGGACAATTCAGATTAACCTTAAGTATATCTTTCAGCTATTTGTCTACAATATCATTTAATAATGAACTAATGCTTGCTTACTAAATCTTCACTGCTTCAAGCTACTAATGATATGGAGGACAACTCCCATCATGCTTATTAACTATGCACTGTTTCTTGTTTTGCAAATATACTCAGTGCCTCAAGCTACTTATTATATGGAGGACAACTCCCATCATGCTTATTAACTATGAACTGTTTCTTGCTTTGCAAATATACTCAGTGCTTCAAGCTACTAATTATATGGAGGACAACTCCCATCATGCTTATTAACTATGAACTGTTCCTGCTTTGCAAATATTCTCAGCTACTTGCTTATTGTTTCTATTGAAGATTATTCTCATTAACCTAAAGAATGTTACTTAATACATCTCTGAGGAAATATTTATTAATGAACTTTGTGTTGTTGATTACTTGCACTTCTTCTTATTGGATTATTGCCTAAATGCAATTCATTTAAGTTTAACACTTATTAAAACTTCATTTGAATCAAGTTCCAAGCAATTCTCTCTTTTCTTAAAGCTACAGTATTGATACTTTAAAGATTCTCAGTTTCTTCACAATTGTAATTAGGGAGTTTTACAAGCTGCAGTTGAGTTCCAATCCAAATCACCCAAGTAGTGTAACATCGGGTCCCATTATCCTTTGACCTTCAGAGATATGGAATCCTTAATACTTGACAGTTGACTGGCACAATTGCGCTTTCTTCCTAGATACTTTGTATCCTGCCTTACAGAGAATTTGAAGTAGATCATAAGTTGCTTGTTGGCATATCTCTTTAGTAATTGGCGCTATCAACAAATCATCCACATACTGAAGTAATACACATTCTCGTGGGATGGACTTGAAATCTTGCAGATCCTGGCTTAGTGCGGACCAAATAGGGTGGGTGAATTATTGAATCCTTGAGGTAGTCTAGTCCAACTCATCTGATGCTTTGAACCCGTAACAGAATCTTCCCATTGGAAGGCAAAGAAACACTGACTCTCAGCAGCAATTCAAAGACAAAAGAAAGCATCCTTCAGGTCTAAGACTGTAAAGTAAGTTGCCCCACCTGGTATCAAGGCAAGCAGATTATAAGGGTTGGGTACAACTGGGTGTATATTAACTACCGCATCATTAACGGCTCTTAAATCTTGTACAGGACGATACTCATCTGATCCTGGCTTCTGAACAGGTAACAATGGAGTATTCCAGTGGGAAGTACAGAATTTTAGGATACCATACCTTACGAACTTATCCAAGTAGGTTTGTATGTTTCTCTTTGCCTTTTGAAGTATGTGGTACTGTCGTAGACTCACAGGATAGGCCCCAAGCTTCAACTCAATATGTATAGGTGGAATAGTACGGGCAAGCCCTGGTGGATTATTTTCTGCCCATACTCTTGGAATGTCAAATAGGGATTCATCACTCTTAGGGTTTACACTTGTCATTATCGTGTAGAAGCGCCATTCTTCTTCCCTTGGCACCGATATCGCCATTATACCCGATGATCCATTAAACTTCAGGGATGTCGATCCATTGGGTAAAAAGGTTATCTGGGCTTGAAGCTTTGATAATAAATCTCATCCTAGAAGTTGGATTGGACACTCAGGCATATATAGGAATTGGTGCTTCACCAAATGGCCTCCCAGAATGCAAGTGCGACTCTTAAGAACCGGTCTAGCAGCGCTCTTCCCAGTTGCTCCTATTACTGTTATGGTTTTTCCTGAAGGAGGAGCAACTAATTTGGTCACCATGGAATGTTCAGCCCCAGTAACAATCATGAAAGGACTTCTCTTTCCCCCAATTGCTACATCGACCATAGGCTCCGCTCGGCCAAAGGGAATGGAGCCCGGTCGGTATCAATAGTCCTCCATAACAGTGTCAGCCAGAACCACAAAATCTCTATTCTTTCTCTAGGTCTCTGCGTGGGTGGATAATATCTGTCCCCTTGAACACTTCCTCTATTATTCCCACTATTTCCTTCAAAACTTCCTCTTCCTCTGCCTCTATAGTTACCACCATAACCTCCCCGCACTCTTCTCTCTTCTTGTCGGTCATTTTCATAATGCGCTCTCTGCGGGCATTCATTCCTCCAATGTCCTTCCTCTCTACAGTATGCACACTGATTCCTGCTTAGTGGTCCCCTATTCAACCTATTTTCAACTCCTCTATTCACCTCCCTTCCATGTCTCTCTACACTTGTAATAGCTACCGCTAGCATATCTACCTTCTTCCTCATTTTACGTTCTTCCTCCCTCTTTGTCGCTGTTTCTCTATTTATGTATACTTTATTCGCAATCTCCATCAACTGTGATATAGACATTCCTACAAATCCCTCTAACTTCTGTAATTTCCTTTTAATATCATTTTAGGCCTGGCTGACAAAGGCCGAGTTAACCATTCGGGAATTCTCAGGAGCCTCTGGATTAAAAGGAGTATACAATCTGTATGCCTCCAGTAATCTTTCATAAAAGGCACTTGGTGACTCGTCAGCTTTCTGCAACACCTCAGCCGTCTTTGACATATTGATTGCCTTTTTCCCTCCTGCCTTCATGCCAGCAATAATGGCTTCCCGTCAACGTGTGTTGGGCCCGGTGTAAGTCGGAGAGGCATTTGGTAATGTCGGGGTTGGAGGGTACCAGTCATCTGTCGGGTTAATACAGGGCTTCAGTAAGGTTGTTTAGTATTAAGTTCCGGTCTAGGGGTAGTGAGACAAGGAGATGGGGACAACTGGTTTTTACTAAACGAAAGGTCAGTTAACAGGATATTCCGGGCTGTGCTGGGAGGAGCCTGACCAGGAACCAGAAATGACATCAGATCCGCATATGCAGGACTAATGGGGGTAGGTACCGGAAGGAGAGGGCTTAAGGCAAGTGGGCTGGGCTCTGAGCTGGATGAATGAGTGGGAAGAGACACTAGGGTAGGGGGAGTGGGAATACTGGCAACACCTCTTCTAGCCTTGGAGGAGTAAGGGGATGGTAGAGGAAGCTCAGACTCAGTGGGCGTATCTAAAATGTTGCGGCCCTGATGGACAGGCGAGTCCTGGCCACCATGAGGCGACATTGCTCCTCGTGGCATACTTTAATCCATTTGGGCAATCCTTCCAGAACCTGTTTCCATCAATCAATGTACGGAAACTGATCATAAAATTCAGGCCTACTAGATACAGCCACGTGTACACGCTGCACTAGATTTGGATCAAGACTACCACGTGGAGGCCGTGTGGTCACCAAAATAGGCCATTCTCTGCTACACAATGTAGTCAGACGCTTTGGGGATAATTTTACCCCCAAATCACAAACATTGTATCCCTTTGCAAAATTGTTTAGCATACATGACAAGGGATCAACGATCTTTGAATCAGACACACCCATACTTAGCAATGGAGCGTCGAATTCAAAGAAACACAACAAACACACTCCCAACAGTCACACCTGTTTCCCTGGCAACAGCACCTTGTGGCACAGTTACTAGGCCAAACACACACAAAAACACGCGGAGAATTCTCATACACACACACACAGTGATAACATGACGTCTTCACACACAAAGATTCACCAAACACTAGATACTTATCTCTGTAACTATAGATCAAACCCTGCAATCATCCACGCAGTAAATCAACTTTCAATTACCCGACTATAACACACTCCAGTAACATCGTCTTTACAATCAGTAGTTACAGTACAGTTTTAGAATCACAGGTCAATTAGTAACAGTTATGGTGTTACACATATAACACAAAACAACAGGTTTTTAGTAGTTATATACAATACACAATGTCAGTAATTATAATAAAGGTTAGTGGTTATGGTATTGTGCACTATTATACAGTTATACACACAATTTACACTCCCACTAGATGGCAGAGCTCAAGCTTTCTAGCAGGACATACAATTTAACCAATTCACCAGTTCACCAACTACAGTATATCTAACAATATTTACAATAATCCCAACTATTCTAATTGGCCAGCACCTTGAGAACTATCGAACTATTTACACCAGGATTCGGTTAGTCTACGCTGCCCAAGCACCACAAATAGCAAACTAATGAGCGGAATTTACAACAGGACTCATTTAGTCTATTTACTCTATCAATAGTCTAGTGGTTGAATTTACACGCCTCCCACTTAGCCAAGATAGGTTGAGATCTAGCAGACGGGATGTACACCAGAGTTCTGCATAGTCTCCCAGTCCCCCTGACCTAGCAACCAAAATTTACACCTAGATACACTAGTCAAGACAGGACACCGGTGTCCGGCCTTAACTATTTACACCAAGATTCAGCCTGACCCAAACCACCTGTACTAGACGGGCTGACTACAGCGCGTCTAATGTCAACATAAGCGGTGCGCCTTCGCTTCTTCCTTCCAGAGGGAAGGGGCAGATTCCTTACAACCAAACCAATTCCAAATACAAACCCCTTGTGGGCCTACCGCTTTAACGGTATTCATCTTACCTCTTCGTTACTGGACCTGGGCTTCACACTCATCGACGGGGCACCCCAGTATTCACTTCGCAGAAGCCGATAATCTCCTGGACAAAAGGCCAGTGGCGCCGAGACGAAAGGAAGTCCACGCAGAAATCCAGGGGTGCTGCCGTGGAGAATTTGGGTACAAATCTACCGTCTCACGTCTCTGTTTCAGCTACCGTGACGATGAGCTTCCCAGCCAATGCACCAGAGATGTAACCGTGGAAGTTTGCAGAAACTAAACACAGAGAGATGGACACAGGTATTCAGGAAGTAAGAGACTTTTATTCACGTACCGATCGGGTGTCAGATGGACTAATGTTCCACAACAGATCTGAGCCCCGAACACATGGAGTACATTCCTTATATAGCAATATAGCTCCTCCCATAAATAGCTACACCCACACATACCCTTAACCAATCAATGAACAGAGTCTGGACTTGCTCATCCGGTCAGACCACATGGCTCATCCGAAACAAAGGAGTGTGATTTCAGTTCCTACATTCCTGCACATGCTCAGTACATTGATGACAGTATCTTAGCTACGTGTAACTAACTAATTATACTACAAACACAAGTACCTATATATGCCACGTGGCAATCTTGGCCTACTAAACTTCTATTTTACTGGAATTCCATCACATTACCTGCAGTTGCAGGCTTGCATGTATTCTTCAGTTGATGTGTGCCATATGGTATTGCTTTGATCTATACCTGAAATGCAGGGTTAGGATAGGTTTGTTATTCTCTGTACGGTTAATCTATATGCTACATGCTTTTTACCCTGCATTGCTTACTTTGGATAGTCAAGTCTTACTTGGCTGATGTATACATTGGCTTAAAAAGTGTCTGATGTTGAGTTAATAAAAAATTGTAATACCAGGCTTTAGCCCTGGCAAGCTTTTTATTTCTGAATATATATCAGAAATTATTACTTGGCTTCATTGGGACATGTTTCAGTCTTTATCATTTTCAAATGACCCAGCGGACAATTTCAAACAATTTGATTAGAATTACCATTTTAATCCATCCACTCCCATAGTTTGAGATTCTGGGTCGTTTTCCCCCTGGTTCAGATGTAATTTGTGTTTTGTAGCTGAATCAAATATAGCAAATATATCTCTTTTTTTAGTGATTGCCATGGATAAGAAAGGTGAAGGTAAAAGAAAACAGAAAGGTGGAGCAAAAAAAGTAAAAAAATAAAAAAAAAACATTGTTAGAAAAAGATGAACACCAGTATCAAAAAAGTCAGTAGCTTTTTTAAGATAGGGTCAACAAAACTTGACTTGCCACCTGTATCTCCACCTGAAGACATTGGTGCTAGCTGTAGCACAGCAATGCATAGCGCTATGCAAAGCACTGTATAGATACCGATGCAGGTGAAGATATTCACCACAGTATTGGAGCTCCTGTTGAGCTAGAAACTGATGAACATAAAGAATCATTAGCACAAGAAGATATACCAGCAGTTGTTGGCATTAAGGAGGGCATGTCTGACACATTTGATCATAAAATGTGGTTTATCAGACCAAATTCTGAAAATTTGGATTCCTTATTGTTTCATCCATGTCAACCAGTTGTCCTTTCTTTTAATTCAACAAAGTTATATCAGAGGAGGGATGGAAAGAAGCATCACTGGTTGACTTATTCACATGGACATGGTGCTTTTTTCTGCATGGTGTGTCTAGCTTTCAGCAAAAAGACAGACGACAGTGCTTTTATTGGTGGTTGCATTGATGAAAAATCACATATACCAGAGAATTGAAGAGCATGAAAGAAGCAACCTCCACAATAATAGCTCTGAATCCTTTTTGATGAGGTCAAAGAATATGGACATATCTAGTCATTTCTTTGAGAAACAAACAGCCAGAAAAGAAAAAGTGAAGAGAAAACGTGCCAGCCTAGAGAGGATAAATGAAACCATCAAGCTGATTGGAAAAAGAGACCCAAGCTATCGGGCAACAGCTGAAGCAGCATATATGTTAGATAATGAAAAGTTGGACCATGGAAATTTCCTTGAGATTTTGCTACTCCTAAGCAAGTTTGATCCCATGCTGAAAAATCACCTTGATACAGTTCTTTAAAAAAGTAAAAAGCAACATCAAAGTGCAAGAAGTAGCAAAGGACGTGGTGGCTTTGTTACATTAATTTCAAAAACTACAGTGAACAATATCATCTGTGTAATTTCAGCACTTTGAAAAAAAAAGGTATTGCCCAAGAGATCAGAAATGCTGGCATGTTCTCAATACAACACAGGATATCAATGTCTCAGACCAGTGTTCAATAATAATTCGGTATGTTACAGATGTGATCCATGAACGTCTGGTTGCTGTGGTAAATTGCACATCCATGACAGGGAAGGCTTTGTGTGAACTGGTTTGCAATGTATTGGAATCCATGGAAATTGAAGTTACAAACTGTATTGGGAACTCAACAGATGGAGCTTCTAATATGCAGGGTCAGTACAACGGATTCAGCACATGGCTGAGAAATAAAACACCTGGCCAGATTCATGTGTGGTGCTATGCACATGTACTAAATCTGGTGATGATGGATGTCACAAAGATATCGGTTCAGGCAATATTGTTGTTCGGCTTGTTAAACTCCTGTGCTGTATTTATCCATGAATCCTACCTCCGCATGAATGTATGGTGTGAAAAGTCTCAGGAAGAAAGATTTCGATCTCTTTCTGTGATTGGAGAAACGAGATGGTGGCCCAGAGATGCAGCACTTACAAATGTGTTTGGTTCGATCCAGACCTTGGCAGAGATATCACATTCTGATCATTTTAATGCTGACATAAGATACAAGGCTGGAACTTACTTAGAATCCCTCAAAAGATTCCACACAGTTATAACGGCACAGCTGTACTAATTTTGTTTTCAAGAATACCACTCCACTATTCATGTACCTGCAAACACAAGGTATGTATGTACTGCAGGCATACTGAATGGTGACAGAACCGGTAAACTTGCAAGCACATGATCGTGATTAACAAATTCTGGGCAAACAGCAAGTTGGATACAACTGATTGCAAAGTTTTGATTGAGGAAGATTTTCCATCACCTCGAAGAATACAACGTAAGAAAAGAATAACTGGTGAGCTTGCAGTAGACAAACCAATTCTGTTAGCAAGTGATCAATTCCGGGTGGAGGTGTACAATGTGACCTTGGGCAAGATCATTAATAGTCTGCATAGCCGATTTACAACACACGGTCAGTTATTTGCAGATTTAACATGTTTCCCAAAAAATGTTAAGATATTTTAGTAGAGTGAAAATGAAAATCCAGCGCACTCGCTTATCTACTAAACAGTCATTTCAATGCTGAACAATTTTCAGTTTTATTAAAAACACCTAATCTAGGCAAAAAAATATAATGGGGGTTTAGTTACAGTATATGATCATACATTGCATAAGCTTGCCACAACGTCAATGTACCCCATCTTAGGCAGGTCCTACTCTGTCTGCTAAATGAGCTTCTCACTTGGGGAAATCCTTCCATCTCGAGGTCTCTGCAGTACAATGCTTAAATAGGATCCTGAGATGAGGGACCTGTAACAGGGAGGGGTGCAAAACCCATGGAGCTGGCTAAACTCCTAAATATATACATATATGAGAAAATAAGGGTTTGGCTGCACTCACCTACACATGCTAAATTAGGGTGCTGCTGGGGGCCAATAAGTACAGTGAAAATGAAAATCCAGCGCACTCGCTTATCTACTGTGCGCTGGATTTTCATTTTCACTGTACTTATTGCCCCCCAGCAGCACCCTAATTTAGCATGTGTAGGTGAGTGCAGCCAAACCCTTATTTTCTCATATATGTATATATTTAGGAGTTTAGCCAGCTCCATGGGTTTTGCACCCCTCCCTGTTACAGGTGCCTCATCTCAGGATCCTATTTAAGCATTGTACTGCAGAGACCTCGAGATGGAAGGATTTCCCCAAGTGAGAAGCTCATTTAGCAGACAGAGTAGGACCTGCCAAAGATGGGGTACATTGACGCTGTGGCAGGCTTATGCAATGTATGATCATATACTGTAACTAAACCCCCATTATATTTTTTTGCCTAGATTAGGTGTTTTTAATAAAACTGAAAATTGTTCAGCATTGAAATGACTGTTTAGTAGATAAGCGAGTGCGCTGGATTTTCATTTTCACTGTACTTATTGGCCCCCAGCAGCACCCTAATTTAGCATGTGTAGGTGAGTGCAGCCAAACCCTTATTTTCTCATATAAAGATATTTTAGTAGACCTTCCCAGCAGTGCATTAGAATGACTGAGTAGCCTTGTATTCAAATTTGACTCCAATGCAACTAAAGTGAAACTGCAAAGTGAGATACTTGATTTTGCATCAAAGTGGCAAAGATTCACTTGATCAAGAATATACTGATGCTAATAATGAAGGTCAAGATGAAGACACCATCCATTCTCATCTTATCTCTGAAACTGAGAAACAGCCGTACTCAAATGTTAGTGATAAAAGTTGAAAGTGCAAAACTTGTAAGAGCTGTATAGCCTGCTTCTACAATGTATTATTGCGTTACAACTTAGACAGTTGGACGTATAGTTCACTTTTTAATGCATACAAATTGACACTGACAATTTCCTCCTCTCAAGTAGCTTGTGAGAGGTAATTTTCAAAACTTAAATACATCTTGAATAGACTGAAAAATTCCCTCTCTCAAACACATTTGGAGGCCCTTATGCTTATGTCTGTGGAGAAAAATGCCATGATTGGACCAAGCAATGAAACCATCATTGATGTTTTGGCTTCGAAAAGCAGCTTGCTACAAGTGATGTTGCTTACATAACTTACAAGCATGTCAGTAAATTACAATGTTGGTTAATATTTATTTTTCTAAATTTTGACTGGATTCGTTTTTTGTTTTTTTTTGTTTTAAGTTATAATTACTTTTATAAGTTGTTACATATTTTATCCTCTAAAACATTAGAAAAAAGTTTACACGTTGCAGCCTCCTAAAGCAGGGCTGCCCAACATGCACCCTCCCCAGATGTTACTGAACTACAACTCCCATGATTCTCTGGCTGTTTCATTAAAAGAATCATGGTAGTTGTAGCTCAGCAACATCTGGGGGGCCACAGGTTAGACAGGTCAGTCCTAAAGAGTAATGAGCCCTGTTTTTATCTACTGTTAAACTAATTTACTTGTTTTAAAGCACTTTTTTGAGTAATGTTTGTACATTACATTTTGAAAACTGTTGCTTGCCATGATACTGGTACAATTTTCCTGTTCTAAAATTGGACTAGAAAGCTAGTTAGCAATATGTTTCAAGGTATTTAAACTTTATTGAATTCCAAAGGTTTTTGCACATTTTGTACTGTTACAGAATTAACAGCAAGTTTATTATAACTGTTACAATATTTAATTTCTCTCTAGTAAAATATTTGCACTTTTTGTTACCTCTAAAAGTGTATTTGCATTTACTACTGTTTTGTGTGTTTATGAGTAATTTATATATGTTAAGTTAAAAAAAGTTTTGAAACTATTTGTGTTTTATATACTTTGAAGTAAAGCTCTATGATTATTCTTTATTTGGACAATTTTGATGGGACAGACACAATTACATGGGATAATGGTCTACTGTGATATTTGGAACAATGGGAATTCTACATAAGAGAGCTATCGTGGGGCAAAGTTCTAAATGTAGTCTAATCACCATAGCAATAAATGGTCTACACTTGATGATTGCTCCATGTTTACACCTTTTTTGCTCTTTATGTATAAGGCATTGTGTGCTTTTATATCGGTCTTATCTATAAATAATTCACTCTTCAAATGTGCTTTAAAATGCATGATTTTACCTTTTATGAACAGGAAAATTACGTTGTGCTGGTATAATTACGCAATGTTATGGGGACTAGTATGTTATTTTTTCCAGGGCTGGTTTTCATACCCAGTCCGGCCCTGGTACACCCCTCACATTTTTGTAAATATTTTATATATCTTTTCATGTGTCATCACTGAAGAAATAACACTCTGCTACAATGTAAAGTAGTAAGTGTACAGCCTGTATAACAGTGTAAATTTGCTGTCCCCTCAAAATAACTCAGCACACAGCCAGTAATGTCCAAACCGTTGGCAACAAAAGTGAGTACATCTCTAAGTGGAAATGTCCAAATTGGGCCCAAAGTGTCAATATTTTGTGTAGCTGCCACATTTTCCAGCACTGCCTTAACCCTCATGGGCATGGAGCTTCACAGGTTGCCACTGGAGTCCTCTTCCACTCCTCCATGACGACATCACAGAGCTGGTGGATGTTAGAGACCTTGCGCTCCCTTACCTTCTGTTTGAGGATGCCCCACAAATGCTTAATATGGTTTAGATCTGGAGACATGCTTGGCCAGTCCATCACCTTTACCTTCAGCTTCCTTAGCAAGGCAGTGGTCATCTTGGAGGTGTGTTAGGGGGCCCTCAATGAACTATAGCTCCCCAGTTCCGGCAGCATTCATGCAGCCCAGGCCATGACACTCCCACCACCATGCTTGACTTCAGGCAAGACACACTTGTCTTTTTACTCCTCACCTGGTTGCTGCCACACACGCTTGGCACCATCTGAACCAAATAAGTTTATCTTGGTCTCATCGGACAACATGACATGGTTCCAGTAATCCATGTCCTTAGTCTGCTTGTCTTCAGCAGACTGTTTGTGGGCTTTCTTGTGCATCATCTTTAGAAGAAGCTTCCTTCTGGGACAACGGCCATGCAGACCTATTTGATGCAGTGTGCGGCGTATGGTATGAGCACTGACAGGCTGGCCCCCTACCCTTCCAACCTTTGCAGCAGTGCTGGCAGCACTCATACGTCTATTTCCCAAAGACAACCTCGGGATATGACGCGGAGCATGTGCACTCAACTTCTTTGACCATGGCGAGGCCCAGTCCCGTACACACAATTAATGGGGCCCCGGTGCAAAACTGATCCATAGAGGCCCCCTCCACCGCCACCCCATACAGACACACACAGAGATACACTCAGACACACATACATACTTACAGACACACATACAGACAGGTACATACAAACAGACACACACACAGATACTGTCACGTATTCATCCGCTTATAAAAATGTGGTTAATGACATTTACTGTCCACACAGGAAAAGTTGTGCCGAGCAGCAATCTAATCCACAGAAGGGTTAATGCTGAGCAGCAATTATGCAAATGTAACCGGCCATATTCCAAGACTTTATAAATGATGTACTCATGGAATTCATTTACTCATTTGTCTTGGTTTATTTGGACGATATTTTGGTGTATTCCCCTGATCTTCAAACTCACCACTCCCATGTGAAACAGGTTCTGCAGACGTTGTTGAAAAATAAACTTTATTGTAAATTAGAAAAGTGCATATTTGACCAGCCTGAAGTCCACTTTTTGGGTTACAACATCTCTGCATCGGGATTTCAAATGGATCCTAAAAAACTAGAGGCTGTACTACAATGGCCATTACCCTCTGGCTTAAAAGCCATTCAAAGGTTTATTGGTTTTGCCAACTATTACAGAAGATTCATCAAGGGATTTTCTTCTGTAATAGCCCCCATCACTAATATGACTCGCAAAGGGGTTAGTAGCACGGTATGGTCCAAAGAGGCTGTGAATGCTTTTGAGACTCTTAAACAAAGATTTCCCTCTGCGGACATACTAAAACATCCTGACACCAGTAAACCTTTTATATTGGAGGTTGATGCATCCGAGACAGGGGCAAGGGCTGTTCTCTCTCAGAGATAAAGCCAGGGAACACCATTGCATCCTTGTGGCTACTTCTCCAGAAAGATGTCTCCTGCTGAGCGCAACTACGATATTTGCAATAGAGAACTGTTGGCCATTATTCTTGCCCTCTTTTGGAGGGTTCCAAGGACCTCTTATTGATCATAACCGACCACAAAAACCTGGCATATATAGGGGATGCCAAACGTTTGTCTTCCAGACAGGCTAGATGGTCACTGTTCCTTTCACATTTTAACTTCCTCATCACTTATTGACCTGGTTCTAAAAATACCAAGTCTGATGCCTTGTCCAGGCAATTTGGTAATGAGTCAGCTCCGGAATAGGTGACATCTATTCCACCAGAGTGTATTATTGCTACTACTATCCTCTCACTGTCTTCTCCACTGCTTGGCACCATACTGGAGGCCCAGCCTCAGGCGCCCAGTGGTAAACCGTGTGATAAACTGTTCGTTACCCTATGTGAAAGGGTTAATATCATGAAAGTGTTCCATGACAATGTAACTGCTGGACACCCGGGCATCAATAAGTCCACTGCCGCGATCACTAGATCATTTTGGTGGGATTCACTCAGGAAAGATGTTAAGGAGTATGTGCAGGCATTTTCTGTGTGTGCAGTTTCTAAGGTGACTCATGCACTTCCTTGTGGCCGGTTACAGCCAATCAGATCTAGAGGAGGGGTATTTAGGCCCAGTTCTCATCCTGCTCAGTGCCCTGTCATGGTTTCCCTTGTGGTTGTCCGAGAGCACGTTCCTGTTTATAGTTTTCTACCTGTTTTTTTACTTTGGCTTTGTTTATTGACTACTCTATATTCTGGTATCCTGCCTCCTGGTTTTTCTCATTGCTGCGTCCCTTTCTGTGTTACCTGACCTCGGCTAGTATGTGCTATACAGTTCCACGTGCTGGATCAAACAGTAATCCTGACAGATACAGACAGATACATAGACACACACGCATACAGGCATACATACATACACAGACAGATACATACAGACACATGTATAGAAACATACACACATACAGACACACACATTCACACAGATACAGACGCATACTTAGACAGACACACATACACTAACACACACATGCAAAATATATTTTAGTCACCCTCCTATTACCTACCTTTTAGGTACAGGAGGGTGACTTCCCTGGGGTCCAGTGGCTCAGGTTGATGGGAGTCAAAGTTCCCACTCTGACTCCCTCTCCTTCCTCCCGCGCAGTTTCCAGTGGTTGCTGGGAGGAGTGACCAGGACAGTCACTTCCTCCCAGCATCTGACATCATCAGAGGGGGCCCGATCGTGCTGCTACCGGGCCCACTCTGATGATGATATTCATTTCCATTAACAGCATGGGCCACCCGATGGACCCCTTCACGTGTGGCCCCGGCAATTATACCACGTGGCCCGTGCCGCAGCACATGACAGCGGGAACCCGGAGTGACGGGCCTGGTCGCAGCTGCGACCCCTGTGAACGCAGTATGTACGCCACTGGCGGGGCCTATTCTGAGTGAAACTTGTCCTTTGAAACCGCTGTATTGTCTTGCCCACTGTGCTGCAGCTCCGTTTCAGGGTCTTGGCAATCTACTTATAGCCTAGGCCATCTTTATGTAGAGCAACAATTCTTTTTTTCAGATCGTCAGAGAGTTCTTTGCCATGAGGTGGCCTGTTGAACTTTCAGTGACCAGTGTGAAAGAGCGAGAACATCAGACCTTGTAACACTAACAAGTCACATGACACCAGGAAGGGAAAATGGCTAATTGGGTCCAATTTGGACATTTCCACTTAGGGGTGTACTCACTTTTGTTGCCAATGGTTTAGACATTAATGGCTGTGTGTTGGGTTATTTTGAGGGGACAGCACATTTACAATGTTATACAGGCTGTACACTTACTACTTTACATTGTAGCAGAGTGTAATTTCTTCAGTATTATCACATGAAAAGATATAATAACATTTTTCCCACCCAGAGAATTTTCCACACCCAGCTGTGGCGAAACGCGTCCTGGGATTTGTGAGCAAAGGACTCTATTTTTGGACTCACATTGCCGAATTAGTGTGTGTTTTTTCGTTTTTATTTTTTTTATATATTTGTTTATAGTTAAAGAAGCACTATAGCCACCAAAATAACTTTTGCTTAATAAAGCAGTTTTGGTGCATAGAACATGCCCCGGCAGCCTCACTGCTCAATTATCTGCCATTTAGGAGTTAAATCACTGTTTATGAATCCTAGTCACACCTCCCTGCATATGACTTGCACAGCCTTCCTAAAGACTTCCTGTAAAGAGTCATCTAAAGTGTATCCCCTCTTTATTGCAAGTTTTGTCTAATTTAGATTTTCTTATCCCCTGCTATGTTAATAGCTTGCTAGACCCTGCAGGAGTCTCCTGTGCGTGATTAAAGTTCAATTTACAGAGCAAGAGATGAAATTGGTTAAGGTAAATCACATCTGATTGAAAGGGAAACCATTTTTTTTTTTAATGCAGGCTGTGTCAATCAGAGCCAGGAAAAGTGTGACAAGGGCCGCATAAACAGAAACAAAGTGGTTTAACTCCTAAATTGCAGTGAATTGAGCAGTAAAACCTGAGAGGCATGATCTAAATACTAAAACTGCTTAATTAAGCTCAAGTTGTTAACATGACTATAGTGTTCCTTTAAACAAAGTGTACATTTTTATTAACACACCCACTGCATTTTTACCTGCAACTACAAAGAGAGAATGTGGTCCTTAACCACATACGCTATTCGATTTGAGCCTATATGTAAGGCTCTGGGTTTGTGAGTACCATTTAACTTAAATGTTACCACTAAAAGGAGAATTACAATATTGCACCATATTTGTTCTTTCTTATAACATTACATAGGATAAAAACATTCAGAACATTTCTGAAAGAGGGGAAAGGGTCGCCTCAATGGACCCTAAAAGTGCATAAATTGAGCTATATTCACTAGCTGAAAAAAATGAACATCACATTTATACTAGGATCCCAGAATGGGGTACTCAATAAAGGTATATATGTGTTTCGATTGCCTTATTTCACAGCACAGTTCTTAGATATCGAATCCTTACGGTCTTTAAATATAGCGTTTCACCATCACATTTGTTCCATATAAAAAAATATTTACAAAACTGTGAGGAGTGTACTCACTTTTGTGAGATACTGTAGGTCCAAAGTTGGACTATATGTTGAAGTAGAAGAGTGAACCGGATGAGGAATACACAATAGATGAGTGGCATGACTTCCTTCTCATGCTGAAAGGCATTACACAATGTGTTAATCATCTGAAATCTCATTATAAATCAGTATACAGGTGGTACCTAACTCCATCGAGGCTTTCTAAATTACAACTTTGTGTCACGGCAAGGGTGCTTAATTCATTGTTGCACAATAGAATAGTAATGTAATTTGTGTACTGCGTATATGAATTAACCACTTAATAAATATCAGATGACAGAAGGAGTAGTGTCATAGGAATATGAAAGGGAGCAGTTGGTTTACCATATGCATCGATCCTTTTCAAAAGCTCTGTGAGGTGTGAGCAATCACACATATGTGGCCTTAAAAGTCTGGTTTACATATAAACCTACTCTCTAATGTGGTATATGTGTAGGTTCCCTCTTATATTTGTTAATGTCCATTAGCCCTGTTCCAGTATCCATATCCAAAAGAAAAAAACATTAATATTTACCCACAGAATAATAATTAAGCCTAATTTCTGTTATATTTGGATTGTGACAAGCACCATCTTCTAAACAAGGCCAAACATCACAAGAGATTGTGATGTCCGCTATATTGGGTCACAAGTAAGAAGTTGACTTACCTATGGAATGGAAATATAATAAATTTGTGCCAGAACCAGCGGTGTCCATGAAAACATGTGAAAATGTATGCAGGCAATTGTGCTGGGAGGGTGGGGAGGCAGAATGAGCATGTGTGCCAGTCTTTGTCAGAACTAGAAATGTCTACAATACCATGTGGGAATGGGCAAAAACAACTTCACGGGGATGTAGGGCAGGATGAGCATGTGTGCCTATCTAAGTCAGAGCCAGGGTTGTTTGAGATGTGAAAGCACATGTGGATTAACTCATTGGGAGTCAGGGCAGGATAAGTTTGTAGGTCCACCTGTGTCTCAGCCAGGAGTTGATCCGGGGCAAGATTGAGGAGCTATGGTAGATTGTGAGAAGATGGCCTGGCTGGGAGAGAAAAGTGTGTGAGTGTGCGCAACATTCTGTGCCTGACCAAGGGATGTCAACGGTGCCCTTCGAAAATGTACAGGAAAAGCCTTCTAACGAGAGGGGGATGAATGAATATATGTGCCAAAATGTGCCTGAAGCAAATGTGCTGTGTAAAAATGTAGAGCGACAGCATGCCTGGGAGGGAGAGCAGAGTGTGTGTGAGCCTTACTCTGCGCCAGGCTCAGCCAGTTTCCAAGATTCTGTATGTGTGAGGATATGAAGTGAAAGTGAGGGCGAGACAGAGGTTGCATCAGTAGAATGGGGGACCCATCCACAGTCTGCCCAAAGTGAAGGGTAGAGACAGACTCAGCTTGTGGGTCCAGAGAGGATGTCCGCAGGGGAGCATACTGATAGGGGAACCAGGCAGGGCTAGATTAAGAGCCCAGTGGGCCTGGTGCTGACAATTATGATGGGGCCTAATTACAGAATTGTCACGGCCCCCGGCACGCCGCAAGGTGCGGTCGGACCGGTGTGACCGCGCCAACGAACTGAGCTTACCTGCTCAGTGGTGAGTCGGGAGCCGCTCTGCCGCCACACAAATACACGTTCTGCAGTCAGAGGCCAGAATGATATTTAACCTAGGTGTAACAGGACTACAATTTCTGCCTGGACTCCTTTAACAATACATAACCTGGATATACAAAAGAACCGACTTGCTTGTTTCATGCGAAATACTATTGCCCAAAAACGAATCCAAACTACCCAACACCGGACCACCCTGAAGTGAAGTTAAGTGATATTTTACCTCCCAGACCGGCGCAGCCGTTCGCATGGTTCAGCACGAATCCTTTGTGTAAAGTATAGGTGGCCGCCATTTCAGGACTTTGCACGTGTTCGCGGCCATCTTACGCACGAACAGCTGTGTTTTGCCATCAATCGTGTGGAACTAAAAACGGATACGCAAACAGGCGAACACCGCTGAGACCTCCGTGACAACGTAGATTCGTGCTGAAACTACCGAACAGCCAGCCGTTTGGTAGAAAGACTAAACCATGCATGGGGATTCTGGCGAACGCCAAGATAGCTGTGGATGGCAAGATTTTCGTGTGTTTTCAATGCACGAACGGGGACCGACCGCAAGGCCAAAACTTGTTGAACTATTTTTGGCTAGAAAGTCTGTGATGGGGCCTGGAGACACTTGGGGACACTGGGAGACATCCTTCACTTACCTGAGCTGTAGGCTGTCTCTGCAGGCTGGGAGCTGCTGTCTGTACTCTGTGCTGTGTAGTGCTCCCCCGCAGATCAGTGAGTGGAGAGAGGCAGGGAGGGATATGCTGTAACTTCCTATCCCTGCCTCTCTCCACACACAGTGACCCCTACTGGCTGGTGCTGGTATTACAGAGTAATCTCCATTTATACTGAGAAAAATACCTGCCATGTGAAAGCACATGTATTACTGCAATACCGGCATGGCCAGGCAGCCTCAAATACCAGTCAGGTGGCAAACCTAAGAGTAGTAGTCTGTGTAAGGAAAACAAAGTAAATTTTTTTATTTTTTTTTAAATGGGCCTGGGCCTGGAGCTGCAGCTCCACCTGCCCCTATGTTAATCCAGCCCCACTGGTGACTATAGTGTCCCTTTAAGCGAGATGTGTGTGTGTATAACGGATGTGTTCTGGGGGAGACTGTTTAGGTGAACCTATATAATGTTGCTAATGAGATTAACCCTTGGAGTGCCTCAATGTAGTGTAAAGTGTACACAGCAGTAGGTAGGTGACTAAGGTGATTAATCAAAGAAAACTTAAGCTATAACATAAAATTAAATTGCCGCATGGGTGTAGAAGGACCTAGTAGAGCACCCTGGTGCCGGTTGTGACAGAGAACTGTGTCCTTGAGGCATGCAGGTGATTGGAGTGGCATGTCCATGTCAGCCAATGCCTCGGGGTTGAATCATTTTGAGACTGGAGAAGTCATTATAGGTTGCATTTTCAGTTGAATCTGGGTTAACCACTGGAACAATTTGTTGTGTTGAGCTATTGTTTTTGTTTAATGCGTTCATTGCAAACAGCTGAAAGTCTGTAAGCCTGCTTTTCAGTGGGGGTTGAATCATTTTGATTAGAACTGTATGTAGTACCAGTGTGTATTGCCAAATACTCAGAATCTATATTGTTTATAGGAAGAAGGATCAGATGAAGAAGGCAAATAAAGGGACAGAAGTGAATGAGAAAAGGCTGTTTCATGGGACCGACAGTACCTTCATTACACCTATTTGTCATGAAAACTTTGACTGGCGAACCTGTGGGACTCATGGTACCCTGTATGGACAAGGTAAGTGTTGAAGCTTGTAGCATGATGAAATGGTTTGGAATACTTCATTAAAGATACACTCCAACCACCATAACCACAACAGAGAGCTTTCAGTGTAAGTAGTCCACAATTGTAGAAAGGTTTCACTTACCTGGTGTCTGCTAGAGCTGCTCTCCATCCCATTAATTCTGAATGAAAGCCAAAAGCTGGTGCGGGGCGGGACCGCCGAGCTGGACAGTCGCAAGCAGGAGCAGCTCCTGCAACAAATCTATGATTCAACTGCAAAGACATGCTAAAACATGATTTTTCACTTTAATGCAGACCAACAGCGAGGGTGCCCAGAGCAAGGGGACTGCTGGGCCCAGGGAGAGGCTGGCTCATCGGGCTTCAGTTCCCTGGGGGAGAGACTCACGTCGACCAAACTGAGGCCTTCTCCAGTGGTGAGTGGGGCGGACGGCCGCTGCCCTGCTATCCTGCACCACAGACCCCAATCAGAGGCTCAACCCTGAATGGATCCGGCCCTGTTCAATCCCCTTATGGACCGGGGGTGATCCCGGTCCTCACCCCATGGCCCGGACCGAGACAGCACAATCGAGGCTGGGGTTGCCGGGCGCTGCACTTAAGATGGCGGGCGCCATGTGTGCAAGCGGCAGGGGGACCACCTGCTCCCTCCCCACGACCATGGATGGCAAAGTGGCTCCTGCCTCCTGACCCAGCAATGAAGCAAGGCGGAGAAACACTCCTCTCCCCCCGAAGTCAAGCCATCGCCACACTGCCCACAAGGCCCACACGAGCAGACAACAGCGGCAACGTTGAGGAGCCGGAACACTGCGCAACGAACACTCCCGTCTGGGGTCACTGAACATGCAGCCAAGCAAGACACATCTACGGAAGAACAGTCCCTGCAAACACTCTCCACCCAGACCGACCAGAGAAGACCCAGCAGGCTGCGAACCCACGAGAGTAACATTCAAGCCTCCCACTATGGCTGACAGCAACCTCAAGAGGAACGACAGAGGCTAGAGCAACACACCATGACTGCAGCCCAGGAGAACTCACTGCGGAGCGGAGATAGACTATGCCTGGAAGCTTGCTGGGCCTGCTACGCCGGACACACATTTGCTGCCACACAAACTGCAGTGCAGATATTGGACGGTGCTGGGACTCCTCCTGTCTGTGTGGCCTCAAGGCCGCCCAGAAGACGACACACTCCAGCGAGACAGCCCGTGTAACCCCGACCAACAAGGGTGAAAACTTTTATAAAGTGACTTAAATAGACACAACCTGAATGTAACCCACAGTCTAACTGCAACAACATTAGCACAAATCTTGCATCTCATATTGTTCTAGATAATTTACTGCAAACCAATTAGTTTGAATGACTATCTGTTCCTGTCCAAATTAAAGATAATAAAGTTGCGTGCACGCAGAAGTAAATTCACACTGAGACACAAGGTTCAGGGTAATGAAAGAACTTCAGAGAAGTTTAATGGCTTCTGACAGAAAATGGGTGCGCAGACCCTTATAAAGGCATTATTACATCATTGAAGAAAATCAAGATATAGACAAATAGACATTGTTAATTGGCTTAGGTGCTAAGATGTTAGTAAAATGCCCTCCCCATTCTTAGGTCACTATCTACGTAATTTCTTAACTCCTACAGGTTTTAGCGCCATTTTGTTAAAATGAGGAGCTCACTCGACGGGAGGGGCCTTTTGGCAGCTATCCATTTGGAGCGTAGCTGGCACTTGTTAGTTTCTCAAGGTTAAGTTTCAAGGATTTTAGTAAATACACATTTTATCAAAGCTATTTCTTGCTGACATGCAAATTCTATGTTCTATAGACAAAGCTTCCTTGTAAAACTATGGGGGCCTCTTAGAGGTATAGCAAGGGGATTTAAAGGGGCCTTACAAATTTATAGAGGCCTAATAATTCTACAACAGTCCCCCCTAAAATGTTATTTGCTAAAAGACAAAACTTTTTTAACTATTTGTTAGTATCAGAAGAAGTATTAGCCCAAAGACACAGAAACCCCATGACCGCTGACTTAGTGTTAATGCAAAGTGCAAGTCTATCCCTCTCTTGACCCTAACAGGCTGCAGCACATCCGTCAGTACGGTTCAGGAACACTCTTCACTCCGCTGGTAACCCATAGTGGCTTATCCACTACTTCTCCGTACGGCAGTCTACCCATAAAGACGGACGCTGTCCCTGTACTGTCCCTTCCTAGACTTTCTGCACTTCATCAGTATAAGGGAGAGTTTGTAGCGGAATACAGGGTGAGATGAGGTCTTGATCATCGATTGTCAGATGAGTGAAGGTTGGTGTTGCTTGGTCTACAGTTTTCTGCAGGAATTTCCTTAGGCATGGGAGGACACAACAAATGAGAAGAGCGAGAATAAAAAGAAAAATTAGTAAGGCAATACCAATCTGGACTAAAGCTCTCTGCCAACCAGTCATCCAACCAAACCATTTTTCCCAGGGATCAGTAACTCCAGAGTGTCTCTTTAACTCTTCTGAGAGTCTATTTAATTTAGCTATGGCCAGAGTGACTTTACCATTAGGACCTGTGTTTTCTGGAATGTAAGTGCAACAAGTCATAGTGTCGGGAAGTATTTTACAGACTCCCCTTTTTCGGCTAAGATTATGTCTAAGGCCAGTCTGTTCTGGAAGGTCATTTGGGATGTGGCCTGTAATTGCTCGGCCAAGCCCTGGAGGGCATCCCTGGTGTAGTTCACGAAGCGCTGTTGGTTGTAATAGATATAATTAATCCAATTAAGGTTTTTGTTGGCAGTGACTATGGTAAAAAGTGATTCAAAACCTACAGCTACTTCATCTCTAGCTTTAAATTCATTAGGTACCCCCCTAGGCACCCCAATGGCATCTATGTAAATGTGGGGGTCAAAACTGCCTTTTACTGGGGTTTCGCGCCTTACTCTGGCTGATGTATGTGGAGGGTCGTATGTGTCATGATGATTATCAGAAATAATATGAATGGGCATGATAACTTTGGCCAGGGTACACTCACCCCACCACTCAGTTTCCAGCCTAGATCTTAACTGTAGATCCCCACATAACCAGTAAATATCCCCCAATGACCTGGTATGGTGTTGCAACAGGCGTATAGGAACAGTTCTGTAAGTGGCGCAATAACCTTTAGAAAAATTACCCATGAATTTACCAATCCCGTCATACATGGCATAACAAGTGTAATTACCTCTATAGACTGTGATTCCATCTGGTGGCTTAACATTTTCAACTAAGAGAGGGTATTCTGCCGTCCATGCCATGCAGAGGGACCTATTAAAGTCATATTGGTAGGCAAAAAGGCTTAAGAAGCAATCTTCTATCTCTAAAGGGAGAATTAGGGGGACGGTGCCAAGGTGGGGTCGGGCACCGCCACATACATAACATGCTGTTTTATTATGTTTGTTGGCATTATACCTCATCCATTCTAACCACAAACTAATGTCATTGAATCCAGTTTCAGCGGCCATGGTATCTTCAAAAGTGGGGTTAGCGATGGCCATCATATCTTTAAAGGACTGGATATGTGGTTTTAGCGGATTTGGGACCATATGATCAGCCCCTTGCCACTCTGGAGAGTGGGACATATCTCTGAGGTAGAAATGACCTAATTTGTTGTAGGAACCTTTCTTCCAATACATTCCCATTACATATCGGTCTGCATCCTCGGGGCCAGGATGTTCAATATTTAACATTAATTTCATAGGGGTACTTCCTCCAGGCTTTCTTAAAGTCATTCTTTGAAGGAGGGATCTACCCTGATTGTCTATCTTAGATAAAGCACTTTTGGGTTTATAACCCCAGGCAGGCCCAGTATTCCATCCCGCAGCCCCCCAGTAGTTACAGTCATAACCCCATTGTTCATCTACTACACAAACGTAAGGGTCTTTTGCTTGTGGTATATCTTTATAAATGGCTTGAATCTGTGACTTAGGGAATGGGCACTCTACAATATCAAAAGTGAATGTAGCCACATGGGTACATGATGAATTATACCAGAAAGTGTACCCACTATTATACCAGAAAGTGTACCCACTAGCATCTTTGGTGATGGCCACCTGCTGGGCTTTAAGGAGGCCAACTAAGGAGATAATGTACCAGAGGCACATGGTTGCATAGAGTTAGCTTCCTCTGGGGCAGGTGTCTTCTTGCAGTGGGAAGCGTGGATCCATGGATCCAGTTAGGCCTTCCGGCCAATTTGACAGAGGTAGGGGAGATCAGGAGAACTTGGAACGGTCCGTCAAATCTCGGTTCCAGGGTGTGTTTTCGCACAAATTTCTTGACCAGAACCCAGTCACCGGGGAGCAGACTGTGGTTGCCTGTGTCAGAATCAGGATCACTGCTTTGTGGGTGATAAGGTGTGTGGAAGGCAAGGGTCACTCCTAGGGCGGCCCAAATCTCTTTGGTTACTGATGCTGTGAAAGCTGGGCCTTGGTCACTTTCAATGACTTCTGGTAATCCAAACCTACATACAATTTCTGTAAGTAGCCGTCTTGCTGTTGTTTTTGCGGTGATGTTAACCACTGGGTAGGCTTCTGGCCAGCCTGAGAACATGTCTACTATTACTAGTGCATATTCGAAGTTGCCACTCTTTGGCATCTGGATGTGGTCTATCTGAATTCTTTGAAACGGGTACATGGGCTTGGCCAAGTGTTTTGGAGGGACTTTAGTCATTTTCCCCGGATTGCACTTGGCGCAGATGACACACGTCTTGCAGTAATTGCTGGCTAGCGTGGTAATTCCAGGGGCCTCATAGTACTTCTGTACAAGGGCAATCATCAAATCTTTTGATAGGTGTGCAGGGCCATGTGCCCACTGAACAACTGCTGGGTATAGATTCTTAGGAAGGCAGAATCTGAGATTGTTGTAATACACTCCATCTCTTAGAACTGCCCCTTTCTGTTTCCACTTCTGTATTTCTTCAGGGGCAACTGTAGCCTGTTGTTCCCGCAGGATTTTCAGGTCAGTTGGAAGAGTCTGCAGAGTAAATATGGGAGTCTCTTCATTTCCGGACACTCTTCTTTCCACTTCCTGTGGTTCTCTTGCAGCTTGTTTTGCAGCCTGATCAGCTAGATGGTTGCCCTTTGCTTCATCTGAGTCCAACTTCCCATGTGCTTTTATCTTCAAAATAGCCACTTCTTCTGGGAGTAGGAGGGCGTCCATCAGCTCCTTGATTGCGGAACCGTGCTTGATTGGTGTACCGGCGGTAGTAAGAAATCCTCTTGTTTTCCAAATTAATCCGAAGTCGTGAGCCACGCCCAGTGCATATCTTGAATCCGTGTAGATATTGGCGCGCTTTCCTTCAGAGATCTTGCATGCTGAAGTCAGGGCTTGCAATTCAGCTTCTTGTGCAGACATAGTTGATGGTAAAGATGATGATTTGACAATTTCATCTGTTGTGGTTACGGCATATCCTGTATGGTATCTTCCTTCTTCATCAGCATATCTTGAGCCGTCCACAAACAGGGTGAGATCGGGATCTACCAATGGGTCTTCATGCACAGTTGGTAGATGTGTTGTTTCCATTTTCATCTGTTCAAAACAGTCATGAGGTGTATCTGGGTCGTATTCATTCACTATGGTTAAATCTTGGAACTTATTTTCCAGGAAATGACGTGGCCATGCTTTTAGGGTCAGTTGTTGGATATTTGACAACACCATTTTCCTGTAGCTGTGATTCGTCCATAGTGGCCCATGCTTTTGCCATAGGCCCAAGATCATTCCATGATATTGTTTTCAACTTGGTCACAGGGACATGTGGAATGGCAGTGTCCCAATGACGGTACAAATGCTTGAGTTCCGGAGGTAGATGAATCAAGACCATACTGTTGCCTTCAGAATCACAGTAGAAGTCTTGTGCAGTGAGTTTTACTTCAACCAGCTTATAGAGTTCATCTTCATAGCAGGGTTCAGGAGTGATGTTTGGTTTGTACCACATGGTACAGAAGGCATGTCCTGCTCCGTCATGAAGGAGTGCTTGTCCATCATAAAAGGATAGGTTGGGATGCATTTCCTTCTTGATGGTGCCAGTGAGAAGAGAAACATACATTTCGTCCATGATGAATCCGTAGTATACACCCCCCTCAGGGAGTGGCAGAAGAGTGGACGGATTGAGAACTTGACATCTTTGGAGGGTAATGTTGTCAGGCAACAAAAGATGACATTGAAGGCGAAGATGCCTGGCAGGAGTAACATGCTTAAGCTGGACCTGGTTGACTATGGCAGAAATGTCATGAGGGGCCAAGACAACCAGGGGGTGGCCAAGGACAAGATCCCCAGTTCTTTCAATGAGCTCTCTGGCAGCAAAGACGGCCCGAAGGCAAGAGGGACGTCCTCTGGCCACAATATCCAGTTGGCAGGAGAAAAATCCAATAGGCCTTTGGCGGCCTCCAGGACCATGGGCCTGAGTGAGCACTCCTGTTGCATGGCCTTGTCTTTCAGAAACAAACAGTTTGAAGGGTTTGGTATAGTCTGGTAGGCCAAGAGCAGGAGCAGAAGCAATAGCACTTTTGAGAGAACAGAAGTTGTCAAGGGCTTCTGTGGACAAGCAAAATGGGTCTGACTTGAGAGCATCATAAAGAGGTTGCATAAGGAGCGAGGCTTCTGGGATCCATGCTCGGCAATAGGAAATGAGGCCTAGGAAGGCGTGTAGTGACTTCGAGGTCCTTGGAGGTGGAATGTCCAGTACCGCTCTAACTCGGTCACGGGTAAGATGTCTGGTTCCCTGAGACAGACAATGGCCAAGGAAGATAACAGTAGGTTGGCAGAATTGCAGCTTGAGACGTGAAGCTTTACATCCTTGTTCTGCTAGGTAGCAAAGAATATTAAGTGAGCATTGTTCTGTTGTGGGTATATCATCTCCACAAAGCAGCAAATCATCCACATATTGAAGCAGGACGACCTCAGGGTGGTCAGATTGCCATGGATCAAGGATAGAGCACATGGCCTTCGCAAATTGACTTGGTGAATTTTGTGCCCCTTGGGGCATGACAGTCCATGTGTACTGTTGTTTTTCATGTGTGAAAGCAAACAGATATTGGCAAGTTGGATCCAGGGGAACACTGAAGAAGGCATTGGCCAGATCAATGACAGTGAAGTACTTGGCAGAGGGTGGAACGCCGGAAAGGAGAGTGTGTGGGTTGGGCACTATTGGAGTGTCCAAAACTGTGGCTTCATTTACCGCTCTGAGGTCTTGGACCAATCTGTACTTTTCTGGTTCGCCTTTTGGAGTCTTTTTCTTTACTGGAAATAATGGAGTATTGCATGGTGATTCACATTTGACAAGAGCACCCTTCTCCAGGAGTGCTTGAATTTGAATTGTAATGGCTGCAGCTTGAGCTGGTTTCAAAGGATACTGTGATTTTCGTGGCAATTTTACGCCTGGGATGAGCTTTACCACCACAGGCGGGACCTTTAGATGGCCTATGTCCTCTGGGCCTGTGGACCACAGCTTCTTGGGAACATCAGTCTTTAGTGAATCAGGGAAATTAGTCCTTAGGTCTTTTGCATCCCCATGAGGCTCTTCTAGATGTAGGGGGTAAGGAGCACAAAGCTATCAGGGGTAAGGAGCACAAAGCTGAGGTGTCTGAGACAGATAGAGGGGTGGATAGTTCCACTTGTCCATCTGGAGTAAAGGTGATGGATGCCTGCAGGCGTGAAAGAACATCAGCTCCTAACAGGTTAATGGGGCATGTGGAAGATACCACAAAGCGAGCAAGCAAGTTGTGGCAGTTACCAACCCGCAGTGGGGTGGACAGGGGACTTTGCCTTGGAAGGCCGTCCACCCCAACACAGGAGACATCAATATTGGAAAGAAATGAGGTATCGGGCAGGTCTTGTTCTCTCAGAACACTTCGGGCTGCACCTGTGTCAACTAGGAAAGTGGTGGGCTGGCCCTCAATGGGTAAAATTACAGTAGCTAGAGGCCCCCCTTGTTCCCCTGAAGACACTGCCATGGCAGGGGCATTAAGCATCAGCGGGTTTGCTCTCCTCAGTATGGGCTGTGTTACTGACTCAAACCCCTTTTGTATGTCATTAGCCATAGCTTTTTGCAGTCTGAACATGTCTATCATTATAAATAATGGTTAATAGTAAGTTAAGTAAAGTTCCTATATGTCTTTGGATAAAACATTAACTATTGCGGTACTATCATTTATATCAATTAGACTATAACAATTATACCACCCTGTAACTAAGTAAACAACCAGTAGTGGCTGGGTTAATAAAACATGTCACAAACCCTTCTAATGCTAAACCATCATTTAACGTAAAGGATGTTACTGTAAACATAAGATCTGTAACCAACAAGATTCGATTAAGTAAAGATACAATGTTTAAAATAACTTGCATTATTTGGCTATTTCCCTTGTTGCAAGATTAATCTGGATAATCAGCTGTTATGTTCTTATATTCGTGTCCAACAGATTTCATATGTAGGTCACACCACATTTGCAAATTACATTTTAGCAACCTTCTTTTTTTTTTTTTTTTTATCACGGACAAATTTCTGATACAGGGAAACAAATGACATGATTGTTTTAGTAATTATAATGTTTCTGTTCATAATATGTAGAGTGTAAGGAAAACAACATGTCTCTAAATGGGACGAGCATAATAGGGGTAGGCCTCATGATGGAGGCAGCCATGACAGGGGCGGGGAAGGAAATGACAGCAAGGGAGGAAGTGAGAGGGGTGACGTCCATGATATGTGTGGGAAAGGAAGACAGGAGGTGTGGGCATGGTAAGGGCGGAAGTGACGTTACTTTAGAAGCAACCGTGACTGTGGATAGGTCACGGGACTGGCAGGCGCCATCTTTAGGGTGGTGGTTGACGTACTTTCAACCATACACTATATTAAAACTATTAAAATAAGTCAGAGAAGCAACATTCTGTTCTGCAAAATGGAATACTAAACTATGAACAGACCTGGCAGGTTAAATAAGACAGTTGAAAACATTATGCATTTAACAGCCCATACAGCTGTCTTCTAGAAACATGTTCTTTAAAATGATGCAAGATAAACTCGCGGAATTCAACCAAATTCCCTTATCTTCCTCAAACCATTAATCACTTTCCTCCTCTTATACTGACTTAACAACATCGCATATTCCCTCTACACCTTCCTAAATCCCGTATTCAACACTGAATGCAATCTTGTGAGCTCGTCACTCCCACAATCCTCAGTACCTTATACTCTTATCAGTAGCTTCTGAATAACTCTACAGAACACCGAAGAGACAGACCTAAATCGCAAGCATGTCACCCCCCCCGCGTCTCACAGAAGCGAGGGGAGGGGGGGTGTTTTAGCAGAGGGGGATTTGAGTGGAACAAGAGAGAGACTGCCTGCCAGCACGAATTTAACCATGTCAACGCTGTACAGTAACAAGACAGAAGGACAATTACATTACAAAGCAAAGAGACACAAAAACACAACATTTCATTTATACCCCCACCCTCTACCAGGGTAATGGCTAACACAAAATACAAAAACCCCCACAGCGTTTTAAGATTGGGGTGGGATGGTGACCATGGTCAGCTACATTTCGGTCATTACTGACAGGATGATGGAAGTGGTCACCTCCTGGACAGGGCACTGCTGGGATAACTTCCCAGTAACACAATTATTATGATATACATACAATCTTAAACCTTTGTGATCAATATCTTCCTCAACCTATCCCTTTTGCTGAATAGCTCTTGCTACTCGGTACCAGACTTCTGCTGTACAAACCAAATCTTGGTCCGACAGCTTCCCTTTCTTCTGTCAGTAACTTACGCCAGCTCTCTGGCTACAATCTGCCGCACAGAGGTACGGTAATTCCACATACTTTAGCAATCTTACTCACTTTCTTAACCATCTCTTCTCCTTCTCTGTCTTCCACTAGATCACATGCTAACCAACCCTTACTGGGTTTATCTAACTTCTGTCCCATCCTCCCTATACAAGGCGTCCCAGATATAGAGAGAGAAAGGAACAGAACGTCTACCGTGCTCGACTGCTACTTTAAGAGCAAGCTCTTTAAGTACGTCTTCCCAAAACGTAGACTAGTCACTGATTCCGCCTACCCGTGGTAGCCGCGGATTGGAGCGTGGCGAGAAGTGTGTGACCAATCACTTCTCTCAACAAAGAGAAAGAGAAATAGGAGGGGAAAGTGTAAATAGTACAGTGAGTAAGATAGAAGTAAACACAGGAATCTGTGTGACAGACAATTAAGACAATAACATTTCAGTGTAAATACAGTGAATGCATCACAGTTCAAATAAGTTCAACAGTTTTATCCCTTGCCTTTACTCGTGTGGCCAAAAGCCACCTCCCTCAACCTCGTAGTGTCCCTGTTGCGGACCCACCCGCAAGTCTCACTACCAGCAGCCACAGGAAACAGCAACAGCTTCCAACCCGAATCCTGTATAGCCTAAAGAATTGGAATCTTACCTGCCTCAGCGCTCGAGGCTGGAATTTTACCAAGAAGAAGTGTCCGATGAGGCTAGCTAAGCGGTCAAAATGACACTCTGGGGAACCCCCAGGAAGCAATGAGTCTACATCATCCTCCACAGATTCCCCCTACTCTTTTTCCTTACAGCCACAGCCACGTGGCTCCTAAAAGAGTTAAACAGGCAATAGAGGACCCCCAGGAAAACTTCCACAGGTCCACCCCCCTTTTTCCTTACTACCACAGGCATGTGGTACCTAAAAGGAGTTAAACAGGCACTTACACTCCCCGGGTACTAAGTTAAACACATACCAATACAAACACACCCAGGCAACAGATAGTCAACATGCAGGTAAACTAGGTATCATTAACAATACAAAGACTCTGGGCAAGTTATTACCTGACTTTGATGTCCTCTCGGCAGCAGTCACAGACACTGGGGCAGGTCAATCACAGGGGTAGGAACATACCGGCTAGGTGCTGCAGCAATCTCTACCGTGTATTCAGAGGTGATCAGGCTCTTTTCCTTCCCCCAGGATTCAGCCCCCCCAGCGTCTTCTTGGACAGCTGCCCAGACTGGACATAGCCCAGAGCCCCACGTTGAGCGCCAATTGTTCTAGATAATTTACTGCAAACCAATTAGTTTGAATGACTATCTGTTCCTGTCCAAATTAAAGATAATAAAGTTGCGTGCACGCAGAAGTAAATTCACACTGAGACACAAGGTTCAGGGTAATGAAAGAACTTCAGAGAAGTTTAATGGCTTCTGACAGAAAATGGGTGCGCAGACCCTTATAAAGGCATTATTACATCATTGAAGAAAATCAAGATATAGACAAATAGACATTGTTAATTGGCTTAGGTGCTAAGATGTTAGTAAAATGCCCTCCCCATTCTTAGGTCACTATCTACGTAATTTCTTAACTCCTACAGGTTTTAGCGCCATTTTGTTAAAATGAGGAGCTCACTCGACGGGAGGGGCCTTTTGGCAGCTATCCATTTGGAGCGTAGCTGGCACTTGTTAGTTTCTCAAGGTTAAGTTTCAAGGATTTTAGTAAATACACATTTTATCAAAGCTATTTCTTGCTGACATGCAAATTCTATGTTCTATAGACAAAGCTTCCTTGTAAAACTATGGGGGCCTCTTAGAGGTATAGCAAGGGGATTTAAAGGGGCCTTACAAATTTATAGAGGCCTAATAATTCTACAACAATATGGTAGACAGGTACTTGGCCACATAGCTTGAAATTGATGTCATATGTTTAACAATATACCAGCTAATTTAACTTGTGTTCACTGCATAAGTATATCACTAATGATATTATTTCAATATGGTTCCTGAAAACGTTTAACACCTGGCAGTCGCAGCAATGTTATGCCAAATGTCCCTGCTTTACTCATGTTCCATTACCACTCATGTTTTACTACTACCTATTTGCACTTTAAATATAAAAGCATGCGAATGTCTCTACATACCCCACTGTCACAAATGTTATTGGTATAAGCGAGTGGAATGCCTTTGGGGTACCACAAGCATGTCTGTTAAAAAAAAGAAAGCCAAAAGTTGGTAAGCAGAAGCCTCCACTGGTTCTACTGAGCTAAGCTCTAGCAAACAGTGACAGTTGCTGGGCTTAGTTCAGTCAGAAAGCTTTTGGCTCTCTATTGGAAGTAGTGGAGGCAGGGAGCTGCATCCGCTGGACCCCAGGTAAGAAGGCAAACCATTCTAAAACGGTTGACTACTTAAAATGGTCGAGGCATCATGGTACTCCTGTAGTAGTTATGGTGCTTGGAGTGCTCCATTAAACAATAAAGTAAGAGAACCAGATGGACCTTTGTAAGTCTTTGTATTGGCTTCCCATGGTCTAGAATACATTAGCTCTGCATTTGTAATATATATATATATATATATAAACACACATATACACACACACACACACACATACACATACACACACTCACTCTTGCTCGGATGGTCAGCAAGTTGTAGTAGTATTTGCAGGATTTCCAGATCTATTTATAATACTGCTCTCGCTTTTTACCTTACAGGAAGTTACTTTGCAAGAGATGCCTCTTACTCTCATAACTATTCACCAAAAAACAGTGATGGTAAAAGAACAATGTTTGTGGCTCGTGTGCTAATAGGAGATTTTATTACTGGGAATTCTACTCTAAGACGACCACCATCCAAATCTGGGAGCATGACCCACTTTTATGACAGCTGTGTGGACAACATATACCAACCGACCATCTACGTGGTGTTTGAAAAACATCAGATTTATCCAGAATACCTTATAGAGTATAAAGAGGAGGAGAAGAAGTCCTGCTGCATTAGCTAAACGTGTCAATGTCTGACTTAATGGAACGACTGTATGAAGCAAAAATATCAGGAGAATAAATACTGCAACATTATTTAAATACTTTAAATATATTTGCCACTTTCCCTAAAGAAGTTAAACTGTTTATGTATAAATTGTGATGTTCAATAGAAATTATGAACATAGTATCTAAACCATGCTCTCCTCAAAATTGGCTATTGTTGCCACCATGCACCATGAAATCACATTCTTAAAGGGATTCTCCAGTGCCAGGAAAACAAATCCGTTTCCCTGGCACTAGAGAATCCTGGAGTCCCCTCCCGCCCCCCCTATGGGGAAATACAAATAACTATATATGACACAGGTCTTATGGCTTATATGCTGACTCTCTCCTCCTCCTTTGTGGCTCATAAGAACACAATATCACATATGGAGGGCTTGTTCAGAAGCCAGTGTTCTGTGTATATAGAAACAAAAAATTTAAAATGCTCTCACGCAAAATAGTTTTTGAGCGTGAGCGTTTAGCTAGAGAAATAGTTAACAATGTTAAATATGCACTTAACCAAATCGTAAAGAGAGCAAGTGTTTATTATCAAAGCCTGTTGGCTAAACCTATATTAGAGACTGATATCCACATTATTCTGGTAATTAACATACCAAACCATCTCACCTAACTTCTTAACAGTGCGATAATTCCCTTACATTGGCAAATAAATGAATAGCGCCAGATATTGAAATGGTACAACTATAATGGTTTCCATAAATCAGTCAGAGGTTTAGCCAATAGGCTTTGATAATAAACACCTGCTCGCTTTACTATTTAACATTGTTAACTATTTCTCCAGCTAAACGCTCACGCTCCAAAACTATTTTGCGTGAGAGCATTTTGAATTTTTCATTTCTATTTTCAATATAGGGGTTAAGCCCCGAGACATTACTGGAGGGTCTCTCTGGTGATCTAATTTAGTAAGGGTGGACCTGCAAGCACTGCCCACCTTAGCTGAATATATTTTGATATTCAGTGATCGGTGTACACCTGTTATCCAACTGCTTAAAGACTGCACTGACATCCCTCCAAGACTACTGGCTGTACAGAATGGCAAAAGTTACAATACATGTGTCTCTAAACACAAATTATGCTTGCTATACAGAATATATACAGCTTTGATACTTTTTGTAGCAAAACTGATAAGGGATTGCTCTTTCTCTTCCTGTGAAATTAGTTGTGTATTAGTTAATAAACAATACACAAGATCCAGCGCACTCTCCTATCTACTAAACAGCAACTTCAATGTTGACAGATTTGATTATTTTTTTTTTAAAGTTTTTTCTAAAGGTTTTTTTAAAAAACACCTAATCTAGGCAAAAAATAATGGGGATTTAGTTACATTATATGATCATACATCACCCCATAGTTACATTATATGATCATAGCAGCACCCCATTTAAGCATGTTCAGGTGAGTGCAACCACCCCCCATGTTTCATATATATATATATATATTTGGGAATCTAGCCAACTCCGTGGTTTTGCATCCCTCCCTGTTGCAGGTGCCTCATTTCAGGTCTCTATTTAGCCTTGTACCGCCTCAGAGAGCCTCAGATGGAAAGTGAGTGAGTTATTCACATAAAAGTAGACATTAGACTGTGAGAGTAGAACCTGCCAAAGATGGGGTACATTGAAGTTGTGGCAGGCTTATACAATGTATGATCATATAATGTAACTAAATCCCCATTATTTTTTGCCTAGATTAGGTGTTTTTAAAAAAAAAAAAACCTTTAGAAAAAACTTTAAAAAAAACGAATAAAATCTGTCAACATTGAAGTTGCGGTTTAGTAGATAGGAGAGTGCAGTGGATCTTGGGTATTGTTTATTGTATAATATGGCCCCCAGCAGCACGCCATTTAAGCATGTTCAGGTGAGTGCAACCACCCCCCCATGTTTCAAAAAATGAGTTATATGTAGAAGGTTTGCTATAATTAAAGGATCACTATAGTGTCAGGAAAACAAAGCGGTTTTCCTGACACAATAGTGCTCTGAGGGTGTCCACCTATGGACGCTCTGCACGATGGAGTCATAATATGCCTCCAGCGTCACAGATGCGCCTCTAGTGGCTGTCCGGAAGATCGCCACTAGAGGCTGGCTTAACCCCAAATGTAAACATAGCAGTTTCTCTGAAACTGCTATGTTTGCATCTGAAGGGTTAAAACCTGAGGGACCTGATACCCAGACCACTTCATTGAGCTGAAGTGGTCTGGGTGACTATAGTGTCCCTTTAATGAATACTAAACGAATATTGTTGAACATCTAGAGCGTGTGGATCATGTATACCTGTCTTCAGCCTTTGTATAACTTCTGCATATACCATGATGCACCCCTGGTGTCTCATCCATCAAGTGACCTTGTTCGGTTTTTTTTGTTTGTTTGTTTTTCACCACTGCCTTTCTACTTTGTTTTTTTTTC